AAGCACGGTAAACTTTCGGGTGCGATCATACCAGCACTAATGCACCGGATCCCATCAGAACTCCGCAATTATGCGTGCTCGGGCGAGAGTAGTACTAGGATGGGTGACCCCCTGGGAAGTCCTCGTGTTGCACCCCTCTTTTTTTTTGTTTCTGGGCCCGGGACCGTACGTTTTTTGCGGCGTCGGGGCGTGCGGTTCCGTATTTTCTTCCGTGCGGTGTGGGGCGCGCGGTGGAGGCCGGCACGTGCGGCGGGCCCGGGGGAGCGTGCGGGTCTGGGTCGGGAAGGCACGTGGGAACGGTTAGGAAACGGGAGGCGGGGGAGACCGGGGGTGGTAGGGGATGAAAGAATAAAGCACGGTAAACTTTCTGGTGGGATCATACCAGCACTAATGCACCGGATCCCATCAGAACTTCGTAGTAAAGCGTGCTTGGGCGAGAGTAGTACTAGGATGGGTGACCCCCTGGGAAGTCCTCGTGTTGCACCCGTATTTTTTTTGGGCCCGGGACCGTACGTTTTTTGCGGCGGCRGGGCGTGCGGTTCCGTATTTTCTTTCGTGCGGTGTGGGGGGCGTGGTGGAGGCGGGCACGTGCGGAGGGCCCGGGGGAGCGTGCGGGCCTGGTCGGGGCGGCACGTGGGAAAGGTTGGGAGACGGGAGGCGGGGGAGACCGTGGATGGTAGGGGATGAAAGAATAAAGCACGGTAAATTTTCGGGTGCGATCATACCAGCACTAATGCAYCGGATCCCATCAGAACTCCGCAGTTAAGCGTGCTTGGGCGAGAGTAGTACTAGGATGGGTGACCCCCTGGRAAGTCCTCGTGTTGCACCCCTCTTTTTTTTTGTTTTTGGGCCCGGGACTATACGTTTTTGGCGGCGGCGGGGCGTGCGGTTCTGAATTTTCTTTCGTGCGGTGTGGGGGGCGCGGTGGAGGCCGGCACGTGCGGCGGGCCCGGGGGAGCGTGCGGGCCCTAGTCGGGGGCGGCACGTGGGAACGGTTGGAAGACGAGGGGCGGTGGAGACCGGGGGTGGTTGGGGATAAAGGAATAAAGCAAGGTAAACTTTCGGGTGCGATCATACCAGCACTAATGTACCGGATCCCATCAGAATTTCGCAGTTAAGCGTGCTTGGACGAAATTAGTACTAGATTGGGTGACCCCCAAGGAAGTCCTCATTTTGCACCCCTCTTTTTTTTATTTTTGGGCCCGGGAACGTACGTTTTTCGCGGCGGCGGGGCGTGCGGTTCCGTATTTTCTTYCGTGCGGTGTGGGGGGCGCGGTGGAGGCGGGCATGTGCGGCTGGCCCGGGGGAGAGTGCGGGCCCTAGTCGGGGCGGCACATGGGAACGGTTGGGATACGGGAAGCGGGGAAGACCGGAGGTGGTAGGGGATAAAGGAATAAAGCACGGTTAACTTTCGGGTACGATCATAYCWGTGTTGATGCACCAGATCCCATCAGAACTCCGCAGTTAAGCGTGCTTGTGCGAGAGTAGTACTAGGATGGGTGACCCTCTGGGAAGTCCTCGTGTTGCACCCCTCTTTTATTTTGTTTTTGGACCCGGGACCGTACGTTTTTCGCGGCGGCGGGGCGTGCGGTTCCGTATTTTCTTCCGTGCGGTGTGGGGGGCGCGATGGACTCGGCACGTGCGGCGGGCCCAAGGGAGCGTGCGGTACCGGCAGAGCGTGCGGGCCCGATTCGGGACGGCACGTGGGAACGGTTGGGAGACGGGAGGCGGGGGAGACCGGGGGTGGTAGGGGATAATGGAATAAAGCACGGTAAACTTTTGGGTGTTATCATACCAGCACTAATCCACCGGATCACATCAGAACTCCGCAGTTAAGCGTGTGCTTGGGCGAGAGTAGTACTAGGATGGGTGACCCCCTGGAAAGTCCTCGTGTTGCACACCTTTTTTTTTATTTTTGGGCCCGGGACCGTACGTTTTCGGCGGCTGCGGGGCACGCGGTTCCGTTTTTTCTTCCGTGCGGTCTGGGGGCCGAGGTGGAGGCGGGCTCGTGCGGCAAGGCCAGGAGAGCGTGCCGGCCCGAGTCGGGGCGGCACGTGGGAACGGCTGGGAGACAGGAGGCGGTGGAAACCGGGGGTGGTAKGGGATAAAGGAATAAAGCACGGTAAACTTTCGGGTGCGATCATACCAGCACTAATGCACCAGATCCCATAAGAACTCCGTAGTTAAGCGTACTTGGGCAAGAGTAGTATTAGAATGGGTGACCCCCTGGGAAGTCCTCGTGTTGCACACCTTTTTTTTTTTGTTTTTGGGACCCGGGACCGTACATTTTTCGCGGCGGCGGGGCGTGCGGTTCCGAATTTTCTTCCGTGCGGTGTGGAGGGCGGTGGAGGCGGGCACGTGCAGGCCTGAATCGGGGCGGCACCTGGGAACGGCTGGGAGACGGGAGGCGGTGGAGACCGGGGGTGGTTGGGGATAAAGGAATAAAGCACGATAGACTTTCGGGTGTGATCATACCAGCACTAATGCACCGGATCCCATCAGAACTCCGCAGTTAAGCGTGCTTGGGTAAGAGTAGTACTAGGATGGGTGAAGACTGCCCAAACCTCAGCGAATGCTGAAGACACCTTCAGGTTATTCCAGCATTCAGCGATCAAAAGAAGCTTGTTGAGCACGATTGTTTTTGTCTTGTCCTTATACACACAATGGAAAAATCCATACCCTTTCTAGAGCATAATACTTTACGGAGCCGATTATTTGACTCTACTACCCACCAACTCCATGAAAGGATGTCTTATTATTCACTATAGCAAAGGACAAGTCTTTCTCTAAAGACTTGACACGTGTTCAAACCCTACATTGCATTAAATGTGCATTTAATGCAATGGGTATAAATAAATGTGTTCTATCTCCATGAAGAGAGTGACTACTTACTCTTGAACCCTAACTTATGTTCTTAAGTAAAAGAACACACATCTAAGAACACAATACGCTTATCATCAAATCATTTCTCTTTGCTAAGAATTTTCTCTCTTCTAAGTCTTATACATCAAATCATTTCTCTTTGCTAAAAATTAGTGTGTAACTTGGATTGTTTAGATAGGTTTTATTTACCTTATCTTTCTGGAAACAATCTTGTAAAATCTGTATTGATCCTTCTTTATCAATATATATATATTTTAAATATCAAAAGTTTACAGTGTTTGTATTCATCCCCCCTTCTACAAACTATTAAACACATCTTGTAGATCCTAACAGGACCAACAGGTATCTCGATAGTGGATGCTCAAGACATATGAATGGAGACAAATCCTAGCTTATCGACTACAAGGTTGAAAAAAGCCCTTCTGTGGCCTTTGGAGGAAATGGAAAAGGATATGCCAAATGTTTTGGTGTATTAACCAACGGTGCAACCACTTTCAGGCGTGTTGCATATATTGAAGGACTGAAGCACAACCTACTCAGCATCAGTCAGTTGTGTGATAATGATTTCACAGTGAAGTTCTCTAAGAATTCATTCTACGACTATGACAAGGATGATAAGGTTGCTATAAACGGCTCTCGTCTAGAGAATGTCTACATCATCAACATGGATTCTCCTCTCACTAAGAATAAATGATTGTAATTCTGAAAATATCACAGAAATCAGATAATCTTCAATCAAGTATATGATCAATCTAGAGAGAAAACTTCACCCAAGTGTATTGTATTAAAACTTGTAATGATTACAAAAATGATTAGCTCAACACTAATTATCCTATTTATACTAGGAAAGCATTAAAGGCTAAACTATTACAAAATAGGAGAAACTTGCTTGAATACAACATTAATGCACAACATTGAACCCAACATTCTCCCCCTTTGGATTCAAGCACGAGAAATAGTAAATCTTGAGTTTCTAAGGCCCAAGTGAGTCTCGATTCTTCTCAATGCACTCCGATACTGCAACTTATCATCCAGAAGGTTTAAAGCACTGATCAGAAGATACCTTTCTCTAAGACTCATCCTTTCATTTTCTGCAGCTTTATCATTGTCAGCTTTAATTTTCTCAAGAGCTCTTCGCACCAGCTTGATAGTACTGTCACAGTACTTATTTAGCTCACTAAACCTTATAAATCTCTTCACTTTGTCTGCACCATTATATATTACCCCAAACTCTGGATCTTAAAGAATGATAAATAGAGGATAGCCTTCAATGTCTTTAAAGTCTTGATCAGGTCTTTTCAAATTTATAATCTTCTGATTACCTTCAAAGCCCATTTGAACATCAATGACCAAAGACAACTTAACATGACTCTTCAAGTATCTCTTTATAGCTTCTAGACCAACGATTGCTCCTTCTCTTCTAACATTAAGATCCCAAAGTTCATGGTAAAGATGCTCCAGATCTTCAAGGTAAAGATTTGGGAAGTCAGCTTCGCTAAACGTCCATATGTGTCCATCTTGTCTTGTAACAGTAAAAACAGGATACCAAACTCTTAAGAGTTTATTGACATCAATATTTTTGATAGACACGATGTGATGTCTGGTTCGTACTTGACTAATTGTTTGGCGCTTGGCTTTCAGAAAATGCTTGTATTTAGTACGATACTCTTGAGTCTCTTTGTAGATCCCAAGGATTCTGTCACTACTTAAAGCTTTTCGGTGACGGATGAAAATGCCAAAATAAATGTCTTTAAGAAAACGTTCTCTAGTCCGAGCTTTGTCAAAACCTGGAACATTAGCTCGAATTGTGAATGGCACATAATTTTTAGAAAAAATCTCAGTAGGATCAAATGCCATCGTGAAAGTATCAGAAGCGCCTTGAGTAACTGTGGTGGGAGGTTCAGAAGTAGTTTGATGATCAGCTTGAAACGAGAAAATACGATCATCTTCATTGATGTCTGTTTCAAAGTCATAGTAGACATCTGCTGACTCATCAATGTTGTCAATATCTTCACCGTAATCTTGAACTCCACCCAGTTCTCTTGAGAAGACATCATTGAATCCAACATTAGCAGACAAATCCAATAAAAACTTTGTTTCTACTGTGGAGTCTGCCGGCTTTTCAACCATTGGCTCGATCACAGTATTTGTCTCTACAGCTGTCACCTTCTCAGCTGATTCTTGGTCAGTAGTCCGTTCTCTTGTAATTTCTAGAACTGGACTTTCTTTAATAACATTTTCAGACTCTGGCTCCCCAGCAACACCTTCCGCACCAATTGACGACTCAGCCAACCTTTGTCTCTTTCTCTCCCCCTCATGGTGATCAGGATCATCCTGATCATCATGCCTTCTCTTCAAAGTGGTGGCCTGAGCTCGACAAGTGTTCTCTAAAGTAGATACCCTTTCGGTTAAGGCATCAATGGAGTTTTGCATAAGAGAAAGTGCTTGCATGTTAGAGGCAATTATAGTACTAATCTTTGAGAAATTAGTAGCTATAACGACCTAGAAAGCTAGAAATTCTGAGGCCTTCACAGTAGGATTCTCCTCTACTTGTTGTCTTAAGAGCCCAACCAAATCTGCGTCTGCCGCATCAAGATTTTGACTCCACATTAACTTTGCATACAGTAGCGACTTCATCTCATCCATCGTTTGTTCTTGTTCCCTTGGAGGATCAGGAGCAGGCGGTGGTGATGGCAAAGACGGTTGTTCTTCAGATACTGGCTCTTTTCCCTTTAACAATTTATTCAAACTTAGGATATGATCTATCATAATGTCCTAGACAGCCTTTAGGGCGCCATCCAAATATTCCCTTGACACAAAGTCAGGTAAAGTAACCCCTGGATCACATAGATTGCCAGTTGTAACAACAGTTGAGACAACTGTTGTGCCTACGTTCAGTGTTGGCAGAATGTTAGCACTGGTAGGACTTCCGACCTGTCCTTGTGGAAAGTCTACAGACTCCACTCAGATTGTTCCGGCTAGTTCACAAAGAACTACGGATTATGCAACAAATGCTCTAGACTCAAGTGTACCTATGTGTATCGGCGCTAGACTCGAGGTGCACAGAATTGATGTTGTAGGCTGGGGCATATGCCTACTAGTTTCAATATTTATATTCTCCAAGTGAGAAGCAGATAGAGTATGTGTTATATCCCCGTGTGAAGATGAAACAATTACTTGTTGAGAAGCAACTGAGTGGCTAGGGGGTGTGCATTTGCATAGCTGGGCTAGCTATGTCTGTTTCAATATCAACATTCAACGAATGAATGTCGATAGCAGATGTGAGTGCCCGGCTAAGTGTTTCGGCTGGGATAGGAGCATATTCTTCATTTTGAGCTCCACACTCACCCTCTCCATATTTTTCTCCGTCCTCTTCACTCATTCTCTCAACATTTTCTACTTGTGTTAAACCTCACAATTCACAATGTAAAAAGTAATGAAAAACAAGTGATGAAGAACCAGAAGACCAATGAAGACATCAAGGCAGAAACGASTAAGTCTGGAATTTAACCAGAGGATCGATGGACAGTTCAACCAGAGGACCGATGGATAGTCCAAGGATGCATTAGAAAGAGCATTCTCATCGACCCTCTAGTCAATCAACACT